TTCTTATAACCTTACCTTACCTTTTTTATTATTAGAACTGTAACCCAAAAATTGTTGGGAGCTACACTTTTTTTTTGTCTAATTGACTATATCTATAAAAAGTGAAATAATACTGTTTTCTTTATTATTGTTTACTTTTTTATTTCTTTATAAGTTACTTTCCTAAACATAAAGACACACATTAACATTTTGTGTGGTACCATGACTCTCAACCTTGCTTTTAACATAAAGACACACATTAACATACCTCCTTTTGTGTGGTACCATGACTCTCAACCTTGCTTTCTACACCAGCTGCCTGTGTGGCTTCATCCAGTGTTGCTGTCTTTGGCTGCCTTCTGTTCGAACCCGATGACCGTATTCCACCACTGTATGTGTCCATCTAAATAGAATTTAACAGATCAGTCACTCTTCTGAGATCATAAATATAAAGAAATAAACAATCCAAAACATTCTGCACTCAATTTGTTTTCATATATGTCCCTGTCAATGAATTTATCATACTTTAAAATAAACCCTGGGAAATATAAATGTAAAAAATACACACCAACTGTTGATGCTGGTGAAGACCAAGCTGCATCTGAGGCTGATGCTGATGTGATTGTGTTGGAGCAGATGTGTAGTGTAACTGAGCATCACTGGGCACTCCATTCACAACACTTGATATCAGGTGTTCTGTGGCCACTGCTACAAAATATTTCATAATAAGTATATATATCTTTTAATATCAACCAAACTGAAAATAAAACATACATCCATAACCATTAAACTTTAGGCGTCTTCTTCAATGGTTACTGCCTCTCGCACAACAGGAACTGAGTAGGTGGTAAACATTTATCAAGTTACCAGATGCTTTCCTCCTTGATTATTTTTCATGCATATTTGTAATTAAATTGGGTATCTAGAACACAACACAACCCTTCATAAGATATCAGAAATGTTCAAACAATAATAGTAGTGACTTAATAATAATAATAATAATAATAATAATAATAATAATAATAAAAACAATAATAACAATAACAATAACGATAATGGCAATAACAATAATAAAACAACAATAATAATGATGTTGATAATGATAATAATAATAAATACAAAACAATTGTGCAATCATTAATTGTGTAGTAGCCTGAGCTACAATCATTATGACTAAAGCAAGAGATTACAACTGTATTTTGTTATAGCCATAATCATATTACACAGCTACTACAGCCTTTCAACAAAGAGATTTTCTAGGGCTCAAAATTCCAGGTGCTAAATGAGATTCACAAGAGAGATTTTGGAGTATTATAGAAGATAAAGCCCACAGTTTGGGAATATTGAATGTATATATCAAATGGCTGACTTTAATACTTTCATTCTACAGGAAAAAATAACAAACTAATAACGTAACTAGACAATAAAATATTAATTAAAAATTAATATATCTAGTTGAATTAGAGAAACACTATTAGTATAATGTACTGTAGAGGAGTTAATGTAAACAGCCACTGACCTACACAATTTTACACCTGGAAGCTCAAATTATATTTAGATTGAAGCAAAATGAACACAAATCATTGAAACCTATGAGAAAATGGCATAAAAAAGGATTTTTGAACAGTCAAAGCAAAATTCTTAGGATAAGTTCTAATTTCTATTATGAAAATGTTTTGTCTATATTTATACAACTGACACATTCCTAGACCTAGAATTTCTAGCTGAGTTGAGCTGTATCTTATGAAAGCCATGCCTGAAAGGATGGTCAAGTTTGTTCCAGTTACACTGTATCCTAATAATACAAAAATAAACTAACAGAAGACAAAATGGTTGATGAATTTAACATGTAACATGTAAAAGAACCTGTAACAGAATCATCTGAAACATAAATTTGGATGTGAATATGGGGAAAGTTTAAGAAAGAGTAGTAGTACATGCTCTATCAAATTGTGCATGAGAAAAATAAATGAAATGAGAGCTTATGAAAAGTAGTAATACTTAAAATTATCTGCTTGCTTCTATCATTTTGCACAGCTTATTAAGATCTTAAAGAAATAAACTGAAAGAAAGAAAGTTTGTACAAACAATGAGCAGATACTGAAAAGGATTCTACTCATTATCTCATTTATTTGCTTACTTACCAGTAGTCTGTGGTGGGGCCGCTTGGCTTGCAAGTTGTGTAGCTAAAAATGTAGCTACATCTTCTTCTTCAGTGTGCATACTTGAAGCTGCATTTGTTCCTTCACTTTCTCCTTCTATAACAGTGGCACCATCTGCAACTGATGAGCTCCCAGTAACCACTCCACTTGCACTGTTCTCCACAGGTCCTCCTCCTGATGACCGCTCAACTAGTTCTCTTCCTGGAGCTGCTCCTTCCATAGAACTGTTTCCTTCATTTTCTACTGTTCCTCCTGAAGCTATTGCTGCCCCACTATTAGAGTGCCAAGTGTCTCCAACATGTGCTAGTTGCAGAAGTGTGCCAGCTGAGACACAAGTGGCTGATGTATTGGCACTTACCA